TGCGTCATGACCCATTGATCCTAGATAAACCATTCTTGGATTTGGGATGTCAGATTTTCATCAAAACTTGTTCCACCGACGATCTCTTCAACTTCTACATATATAATGAAAAATTTTCCTGCAGCATGAGACTACACAACTTCACAGAAATCACCGTCTTCAACATGCAAAGGAATAAAATCACTCTCGGTCGGAAGACGACAAACAAGGTTGATTGTATACCTAGGAGGATCGAGCCCGAGTGCTCTAAGCACCCTAAGCTTAAGTTGGTCTAAATTTGTGTTTATTAGCACTTGTAAAGGACGAGTTCTGCCCCTAATATATATTGGTGCAAATTTAGCATCTACAATTAACTGTCTATCATAGAGGAGCATAAACGATGATTTAATTAGTAAAGAAGTTCAGTAGTGCAGTTCTTATGGTCAAAATAATCATTACGTAAATGCTTAAAATTTACCGACAATGAAATTCATTCCTGATTTGTTGGTTGGAAGCTTTGACTATCAATCAAGACGTCTTGAATTTGATTATTACATATATGATGTGTGTATGAATTTGCTTTAATTAACCAAAATGTCAAAAAAAAAAAATTCTTACTTACCGCTTAATTAAACTCTCCCATGACAAATTAAGTAAATTTTGTTAAGTTTACAAGAACTTAAATAATTAAAAAATAACATTTCAGAAATTAATAGTTAACATAAATAATCAATTTAACAAAACGACAAATTATTCCATTACATAATTTTGAAACATAAATCTATATATATTTAAACAAAACATAAATTTGGTTAAAATAAATATTTTTATACTTAAATTATCCTAATAATTACTATAACGTAAGCTATCTGTTACGAATATAAACTCCAATGGTTTATGGAATTCAACCTAATGTGCTTACTTATTTAAGGCCACTCAACTTCTCATTTTGAAAATCTAAGCAAATCATCACCACTAAGATTTCGTTTGGGACGCACTACAGGAAAAACATCAAATACCGGCGGTTTTTTCCGGCGGGTAGGAAGGCAAAACCGGCGGTTTTAAATTTTACCGGCGGTTTTTCGGCGGTTTATGGACCGTCGCTAGTACCGACGGCTTAACGTACCAAACCCATCAGTTAGGCCGCCGGTAAAAACCGGCGGTCAAACTGCCGGTAATAGGCATTTTTCCTGTAGTGACGGCTTATTGTTTTTTAATGCAATTTTTTATTACAAAAATTTTATAAACTAAACTATTTTGTAAAAAAAATTATTTTAAAAAACAATAAAAAAACAATCTCAAACAAAATCAAAGTAGCCAATGTCGTCTAGTTTTTACTTATTAGCATGTTAACATACATGTAACTTTAATTATCATGAAATCCTCAACGATTATGCTGCATTCTTGCTTGCTCAATGAAGAAAATTATCATAAGATAATAGAAAATTTTCTAATAACTAATCATGAATTTAATATTTATGTCAGCCAATGGAGATAAGATTTATAGGATTTAAGCAACCTAAGATCTGCTAAGCCAAATGTCTTTCAATAAAAAGAACTAAAGTGCAAAATCTAACCTTTAACAAAAGGGAGAAGGTCAGATTTGGGAACCACAAGCCAAGGAGGAGACTAAGCTGAGCGAATGCAGGAAGAGGAGAACTTCTGGGTAATTTAAAAAAAAGTTTTGTAGCCAGTAACTGACAACTAGCTCTTCATATGTCAACCCATCGACTCAGTCAAAAACTGAGTCTTTTTTGTCATTTTTTGTAGCTAGTCAACCATTGAAGGGGGACTATGCTATTTTTAATTGTTTAAAAAAATATTGAATCTTATAAAAATTTTATAAGTAATTATCAAATTTTAACTTCACAATATTCATTATGATATGATCAATGTGTGTAATAGTTTAATTATCAATTATTAAATTCATAATATTCATTATGATATGATCGATGAGTGTAATTGTGAGGACCACTACGTTGCATGACTCAGAGAACCCATTATGACCAAAGTTGAATCTTGTAAGTGACATGTTCATTCTATAACTCTGTGGAGATTTCTGTGTTTTCTGCATTAGATCAGGTCCTAAGAGACATATGTGTGAAAATCTAGATGTGTTCGACAAAAAAAAATCACTTAGGAAGGCTGCGATGCTGGGGTTTGACTATTGCAGCTAGGGGTGTCAATTCGGGTAAACCCGCCGGGTTCGGGTCGAACCTGACCCGACCCGTATCTAAACGGGTCAACCCGAACCCGATCCGTTTTTACAAACGGGTCGAACATTTCAACCCGGACCCGACCCACGACCCGGCAACGTTCTTCCAAACTTTTTTAATTTTATTTTATTTTCAAATTTGGCAAACATGCTCTCAAAATTGATCTGCACGGAGGCCGGAGACTGTGCAAAAACTTTATAAAGTTTTTTTTTGGGGAATTAAAACTTTATAAAGTTGCAACAAGTCAACAACTGGTGTTGATACTTTCCTTCATCTTGTAAAACACGCATAGCAGGAGGCAGCTGGCAGGAGCGTCAGAAGCAGGAGCTTGAGCTGCACGGAGGCCGGAGCACGTGAAACAGATCCTTGCCTAAAAATGATCTCATTGGGCGGAGCAAGGATATGGAGCTTGTCGGGGAACTCATTTGTACAGAAATATTTTTTTATTTTTTTAAATTAAACGGGTTTTCGGGTTGACCCAGTAACCCGCCGGGTCAACCCGACCCGACCTGTTTTATCAAACGGGTCAAATCTGTAAACCCGAACCGACCCGTTTATCAAACGGGTCGGGTCCAACCCGGATTTTCCGGGTCGGGTTGTCGTGTCGTGTCAAATATTGACACCCCTAATTGCAGCGTTGTGTTTTATATACTCTGGTCTATTTGGGGTCTCCAGGAGGACTACGTTGATGGGTCTCTAGGTGTTACATTGCTAAGCTCTCTATGTTCTAAATTGAAAATGAAATTCCTTAAGAGTATGGCGATGATGGCTCTTCAGGTGCTGTGACGTTGTAATCAGAATTTTGATAATTTAAATTTCCCTAAAATTTTAATTTATCTTCTCATCCCCATCTTTGGATTTGTGGAATGAGAGAGAGAGAGAGAGAGAGAGAGAGAGGAGATTTTTAATGAGAGAAAGTCCATTTTGGAGGTCCTTAAGCTATTTTCTTCCAATGAGCCAGTCCAGAAAGTTATACGGATTGAGATATATTACATTTAGCGTGTCTCTATTTTTAATAATATGGAGTTGTACAAGATTTTCTAGTTTTTAAATACTCAAAAAATAGAAATATTATGACATCTAGGAAACTTTCATCATGTAACTTATGATATATTGTTGCTTGTATTATTTTGCATATTTTGGCATTTTTTAAACTTTAATTAGGTATTTTTTTATTTTATGGGGTTTTAAGTATTTTTGAATTTATATCCAAGTTATGATAAAATTTTATATAAAAAAATAAAAGCCCCGATATACTGTTATGAATGTTATTTGTGAATCGTATTATGATTTGCAAATAGAAAAATGCAAGAATTTCATTACATCAAACTTACCCGACCGAGTCAGAACAAGAGTAACACTATGGCAGTAGATATCATAAGTTATGATGGCCTGTTTCTGACATGTGCACATAGAGTCACAAGGGGCTGATTATGTATATGTTTTGTTATTTGTGAAATTATAGTATGAGAGCCTAAGAAACAAATCTGATTAGAATTGAATCTAATGTGATGTCTTTAATTATGCTCTCTATGGATGTATCATACTTCTATTGCTTAATGGAATTATTATGTTAATACTATTATGAATTTTTTGTTACATGGAATTATTATGTTAATACTATTATGAATCTTTAATTATGCTCTCTATGTAAGATCAATTATCACCCCCATATTTGTTTATGTGTGGCATAAAGAAATCACACAAACAAATAAGATATTAGATTTTGAAACGATGCTTCAACTAACCTCTAATTAGCGTACTTATGACACATCAAGCCTACTAATAGAACAAATAAATGTTTTAATCTCTCTTCACATATGATATGATCTTCTTTGGCCTCAAATTACGATTCAATCAAATGATCTTCTCCTTGATCATATATCTAATGAGCATTGTTGTGCTTATTGATAGCCATTTAATATAATATCCAAGGTGCATTTATATTCTAATTCAAATCTCCTATATATTTGAGTTTTCAACTTCGTAGCTCATAAGCTCCATGAGCATCCTCTTTAGCTCTTTTCTACTCTTTAAGAGCCACCCAACTTACAATCGAACTAAGGACAAACCCAAGCGAGAGGCCATTATATTAGTAGACATCAAATTAGAGGCACTTTCAAGCATTAACTCTCCAAGGATAGGAGTTATCCATATATTTTCAATATCTTGAACTATTACTTTTAGCTTAAAAGGTAAATGAAGAGTGGGACAACTTCACCCATTTATTAGTTTCATGTAAATAGGATTGTAATCCCTAATAAAGTCTGTAATATTAATGCATTGATGATTCCACTATTATATCTAGCCTCCATAGCATTATATACTTCTACTGTTCTACATGTGGTATGTTCATAGTTTCATCTACTTCTACATATGGTATGTTTATATCATGACCTACGCTAGAAAAGGATAGCGAACTGTCTAATTTTGAATCATCCATAGTCATACAAAATTTTAGGCATATTTCTTGAAGTAAATACAAGACTAGCGTATTTCTCTAATTTCTATTATCTGGCATATAAAGTCAAAAAAATTATCATAAAAATATATATAATATAATTTATTTTAAAAATTAAATAATTAAGAAAATTAATGCGGATTTTCTTTCCATTTAATTGAGAGATCAAATTATAGATTAAAAAAAAATATTAGTGGTCAAAAAATTTTTTAATATAAATTTATTAAAATGGAACATAAATCTAAAAAATTTGAGTGATATCCACCATTAATGTTTTTTTAATTGTATCCACAGCTTATATAATCTCAATTCTCAATACCCCTCAGTCCATCTCCTCTCTCTCTCTCTCTCTCTCTCTCTCTCTCTCTTCGCAATCTGAAGACGAGGGATCGCTGTCTCAGCTAAGGAATCGGAAATTTGGCGTAACTCTTCACCTTGCTTCTTCCCATCCAATTCCGCCAAGCCCCGCCGCCACTCTCTGGAATGCACTGACTCCAATTTCACCGTCCAACCTGCTGGCGGCGAGCTGGCGACGGTGACCCTTTCTTGAGTTATTCCTCCCGATCCATACACGCTCCTCCTACTAAGATCGCCTCCGATAATCAGATTTAATTGAATGGTGCGAAAGATTGTCAACCCTGTGGCGGAGTCTACGGAAGCCGACCGATCAGATTCCGTCCTGGTTATGATCTCCGCGGCGGCACCGATACATCAGTCCCAGTGCCAGCCGGTGATCCTGAGCAAAACTTCGAAATCGACCGGGAGATTCGCAGAGTGCGCTGGCAGGACCACAGCAGAGTGCGCCGCCATCTGTTGCTGCTTCCCCTGCGGCCTCCTCAACCTCCTCATCCTTGCCGCCGTGAGGCTCCCGGCGGGACTCTGCTACCGGTGTTTTCGAAAGAACGTAATTCTGCAGCGATCGAAGAAGAAGAAGGCCTTCCTAAGATCTGAATCCCGTTGCGATGGATCAGTTAAGCCCAGATGGTCGGCTGAGGATGCAGGCGATTTGGTCAAGTTCTCCGGAATGAAAGTGTTGGCGTCTGTTGAAGATTCGCAGGCCACGAGATCACCGGCGGAAGAGGTGGTGGAAATGGAGGAGAAGGTTTGGTCGAAGTTTCATAACAGTGGGTTCTGGCGAACGCCGTCCCTGGGAGAAGACCGGTGAAACGGCCATTGGTAACGGAATCGTAACGGTCTCAGGAGCCGAAGATAACGGGGTGAAATTTGATAAAGAAATTATATATATATATATATACCTCAAAATCTGATTCTTAATTTATTATTTTTATTTATATAACATCTTAATATCAAATAATATGGTGATTACTTATTAATTAAATTGTATGTGTTATTTTATGACTTTGTGCACCCATAATTGGTTGTGTCAAATTATTACAATAGTTAAATAAATCATAATTCAATTAAAAAATAATTATTCTAACAATTAATTTGGTTTTACCTAAGATTGTGGTCTCCCAAAGCCCTAAATTGCCTAAAAAGTCATGTCTTATTAAGTAGCTCATGTAAAACTCAACCCTATTTGAATTAATATATTGAAGTTGCTAACTTGTCTAAGCCACTTTCTTAAAAATCTCAACTTTTCATTCAGGCTTCATTTGGGACGGCTTTCTTACTGCTTCTTAAAGCAGATTCTAGTATAGAAATTTTAATTATTGTACAAAAAAACTGCTTTCAGAAACAGTAAAAAAGATGTTCTAAATGAAGTCTCAAGCATACTCATTTGTGAAATAAAGGAACCCACTTATCAAATAAAAAACTCACCAAGAGATTTTCTCAGATTAAATTCACTAAATAGAACTCACCTTCAACATTAAAATCTATAAAAGTCACAAACTCTTAGACAACTATAAGCCAATCATTTATCCACTTCACAATCATTTTCGTTGAAGTTGTTTCAAGTAAAATGCTCTGTATATCTAAGATGGTGTTCATGTCTCCTACGAAGAAGTCCTCCTATCCTGACTTCAAGTGGCAATGTGCGACTCAAATTTCTATTCCATCTAAATCATTAAAGAATTCATAAGCTCTTCTAAACATGAGATAAGAGCCGAAGTGAGACAAAAGCAATTTTATTGTTGGCAGATCGATTAGCCAGCCAGAGTTAATGCGATTCAAAAAGTTTGTGGCTTCCAAGCTAAGAATTTGCCCATAAAATACTTGGGCACTCCTATTTATAAAGGCAAAAAGAAGAAATTTCTTTTTGAAGACATTTTTACTAATGTTCAGAAAAAGCTTGACAATTGGTCGTCTAATTTTTTGTCTTATGATAGTAGACTGGTTCTGATCAATTCGATTTTAAATTCTATTCCTATTTATCTGTTTCATACTTTAATGATTATTACTTCTACTTGCACTAGATTAGAGAGGATGATAAACAAATTTTTTTGGGGCTCTAAGTTCAATAGAAATGGTATACGTTGGTCTTCTTAGAATAAGAATTGCAGGGTTTTGAATGAAGGGGGTTTAGGTTGCAAGAATTTGGTTGAGACTGCTAAAGCTTTTTCCCATAAATTGTGGTTTTCTTTTAGATCTAATATCAGTTTATGGGTCCGCTACATGAATGCTAAGTATTGCAATAATATGCATCCTACTTTATGCTTTTACAAAAATGCTAATTCTATGATATGAAAAAGATTGTGTAACATTAAATGGTAAGCTGAAAAATTTATTCAATGGGTTTGGGAAAAGGTGTTGTTTATTTCTGGCAAGATAATTGTTTGGGCCCTTTTTCTATTGACATGTTCTTAAATATGCACTCTATTGATACGGTTAAAGTCTCTAATTTCTTTACTGATAATAGATGAAACATCATTAAGCTTAGGGAGGTAGTTCCTTCGGTTTTAATGGAGATTATTTTGAATATTCTCTTACAAGGTCAATGCAAAGATAAAATCTTATTCTGTCTTTCTTCTTCTGGTAAATTTCACTTGAAAAATATTTGGGATACTGTTAGAATCAAATTTGAGAAATTGTTTATTTTTTCTGCTATTTGGCATAAGAATTATCCGATTTCTTACTATATTTTTGTTTGGAGGTGTCTTAAAGGTTATCTTCCGGTTGATGATTTGCTTCAAAAAAAAAAAGGTTTTACCCTTTCTTCTAAATGTTTGTGCCGCTCTTATGTGGAGAGTGTTGATCATCTTTTTGTGAATGGTGATATTGCCCAGAAAGTGTGGTTTTATTCCAATAGTATTGCCAAGAAAAGTTTAGTGACCCACCATAATAATATTTTTTCTATATTAGAGAGTTGGGTGCATCTTTCTAAAGGGCGTATTTTTAATCTGATTCCTATTCTTATTTTCTGGTACATTTGGAAAGCTAGAAATGAGGCTAAACACAATAATATCAATATGGATGCTTCTCAAATTATCTCGAATGTGAGAAATAAAATTGTGCAGTTATTTTCCTATAATATTATTTATGTTAAGAACTTTCATAATTGTATAGGTATGGCTGCAGCATTTGGTATTCCTATGGGTCATGTGGCTCTCAATCCGGTTGATAAGATTGTTAAATGGATTAAACCTAAACCTCCTTATATAAAGCTTAATTCGGATGGGTCTGTTGGTCCAAATTTTGCTGGTGCCGGTGGTATTATTCGTGACCGAGATGGTTGATTATGTTTTGGTTGGAGAGAGGTTTTATATTGGTGGGTTGTTGAACCTGAAGTTTTTTGTTGCTATGGTTTTGTGGTCATAACTGGAAGATTTTTATTGTTGTTTTCTTGGGACTCTGTTTCAATGCTTTGATCGAATTGAGGCTTGGGCTTAACCACTCCAGGCTGAACTATTGTGTGAGAAATCAGATCATGTTATCAATTGTCGATTGTATTGTGGATTATAAGATTTATGGTGGTTGCTTGTTTACTGGTGTGGACTGGATCAATGGCAATTTTTTGTTCTCTTTATAGTAATCTAACTATTTTGGTTTGTAAGTTTTTGTTTTTATGAAGGTCTTTTGAGTGGAAGTTTGCTCTTCCTGACTCTTTGGATGCTCCATCAAACTGGGATATTTACGGTACTGTCAACAATTTTTTCAGGAAGCTCGTGCTGAAAGTTGATTCTCTGCTCTTCTTTTTTTGGGTGCTGTCTCATTGCAGCCCTCGTATGTTTATATGTAGTTTTGTAACTATTAGTTTAAGGAATTAAGCACCAGCTATTAGGTTTTATTTTGCTTTATTTTGTAACTCTGTTGAACAGTAGTGAGCTGGAGGTTCCTTTTAAGGACCTTGTAATCCTTTTTTTATATTAACGCATAGGCCCCACTGTGGGTTTTAACAAAAAAAAAAAAAAAAAACTTTGCAGTACATTTTTACAACAAAATGCTAGAAGGAAGAAAAAGACTTGAAGCTGACATAATTCAAGCTACATTGATGCAGAGCCTTGAAGAAGGCCCTTTTCAATCTACACTCATCCTATGAAAAACTAAAAATATTGGTTGAGTTGCTTAAACTCCCCAAAAATCACATCAATGCACAGAAATATAAATCAAGTATCAATGTACATCTTCATCATCTCGACCACAGGCTTTAGTTCTATGATGAGCTTACAAATAGAGATGGTTATCTTTCTTTCTTATTATCTTATACATCAGTCTTCTCTGTCCACATTAACTTCACTGCATCAATTGGTATCAAAGCTTAATTAAGAGGTGATGTTGAAAATGTGTTGCTTACTTCATGAATTTCTTGTAGGGTATCTGTCTAAATAAAAATATTAGCTTAAACATTTGCATTATGAAAGAGAAAAAAAAATCAAAGTTTCCCCAAACAAATTATAATAAAAGAAGTATGCCGCTTAAAAAATTTGGGCAGGAATTTGGACAAAATTATGCAAAAGCTTTTTGGAACTATCTCTATGGGCTGTAAAACATATAGATCAAATGAAATTTATCAAGAATACTCTTTGATGAACTATCTCTAGGAGCAATATTTAAAGTTTGCACTTTTATGCTTTAAATATTAACTGTTTTAAACTATCTAAAAAATCCGAAGGCATATTTGATCATTCATAATGAATATTATAATAGTATTTTTTTATTCAATAAATTAATGCAATTTTATGAAACTTAAAAAATATGGAAAAAATATTATTTTTTTATAAACCATATTCTTATTGTTTTTAAGATTTCACATAAATTTAAATGAAAAAAAATTGGTTTTATATTTCTCGTTATGTACCAATTTAGAGAAACATACGTGAATGTTCATTTTAGATGAAATTACTTGAATAAGGATGGCATCTTAAATTGATAGACTATTCATTGGACTCATAATTTGATTGACAATTATTCGAATTGGCTCTAATTTGAATTAATTTGACATTGGTTCAAACTAAGGTTAAAGCCTTGGTTTAAATCGCTGTCTGCATGATTTGTGAAGGGAAGAGGTGTTCATAGTAGAGCTAGTTAGGGAAGGCCTTGATGCCATTGACAAGATCGTGCTCGCTAAAGATTGGCATTTACAAGATTGATGTTTTGTAAAAAAGAAGAAGAGTTTGTGAAGTCACTGGAGGCAGACATCGATGGGAGTGACAACACATGAAGGAAATTCTTGCATTCAAACAACTCCATCTTTATAAAAATAACGAATGATAATGGGAGAATGAAAATTTAAATACAAATAGACTCTTTCATAAGGTTCAAATAAGATTTAAACCTGCTTCGAATTAGGTTGGAACTAATTCCAACTAGGTAAAATGTCTTCAAATTTGCACTAATTCGCTTCGATTTCTTAGAAATTTAACCTCAATAAATGATCTATAAATGGAAAAGATTATCACTTGTTAAGGATAATTTTATCAAAAATAAATTTTAAGATATATTTTTCCAAATAAAATCTGATATTTGCCCAATTATATATTTAATATAAAGACTAAATTATCTTTAATAAGTAAAAATATATTAAAATTATAAATATTTTATACTTGAAGCAAAAATTTAACAAAAAATTTGGGTCCTCGATGCATGACATACCTTTTTAATAATTAAAATAAATACTTTCTAAATTAGAAATTATATTATTATGAAAAATTAGAAATATTGAAATTATAGGTATTTTTATTTCTTGAAAAAAATAATAACGTGCTTCAACCTTTCATATTCCAACAAAATTAATTGTTAAAATCTCCGCAAAAAAATATTTTTTTTAAATAGTAAAAAAAATGCAATCCAACAAATTATTTGACGAGTCTCCAAATAAAATTATGAAAAATCTATTTCAAATGCATTCTAAGTTCATGAAAAATGATAAAATGATTTATTTATTTTTTAAATTTGAAGGCTTAAATAAAAAGTTAATAAACAAATATTTAACTCTTGATCTTCTTAATTATTTTATGAAATATTTGTCAGCTGAAAAATCACTTAATTAATGGATAATTAATGAATTGTTTATACCAGAAATCAAAATTTCCGATCGTCTTCTTGCACGCCGTGTTGAGGGTGGAGATTTACTGTCCCTTGATTTCTCTCCACAAAGTCGACTGGAAGCGAAAGCGATGGAGGCGAGAAAAACACCCATGAATTTGGACTTAATATGTAGTAACTTGTTCAATTTGCCGATTTTTTGATCTGAATCTTTGGCTATTTCATCGAGGTATGAAAAAAGTTAAACTTTTAAGAGTTTGTGTAGGGTTAAATGTCTATTTTCTAGGAGTTTTAGTGGTTCAGGATCGATTCGCCTGATTCTGTTTGATCAAGAGGTTCTAGAGGTATAAAAAAGGCCCTTTTTAGGGTTGTGATTGGAGTATAGGTATTGACCCCGGTTAGAGTTGATTGCTTCGAAGCTCATTATCTTTTTATTTTATTATGTTTCATGAGTTCCTTTGGGTTTTCGGGTTGATAATAGGATTGGGGAGGTGCTTGTGGACTTGCTGTGAAGTTATGTGCTTTGTTGATATTTTGCGATTTTTATGGTAGGTCTATCTTATATGATTCATTCATTTTGGTTGCCCTTATTTATTTCTTTTTTTTGGGTTTTCTTCTTTTTAGTTCTTGGGAGTCAAGGTTTTGGAGAGCTTTGTAGATGGATGAAACATCGAAGATGGAGGCCCTTCAATCTGCAGCTGCGTTTGTGGAAGGGGGAATCCAGGATGCCTGTGATGATTCATGCAGCATTTGTCTTGAATCCTTCTGTGACAGTAATCCTGCAACTGTATGCGGCCATATATTTATTTATGAAAATTCTACTTTGTCCCTCTTATCTGCCGTGATTTCTGTTCTTTGTAATAATACTCTTTTGTTGTCTAGGTAACTAGCTGCAAGCATGAGTTCCATATTCAATGCATTCTTGAATGGTATTGGCCTCTCTTCTTTTCTGTTTTATAAAATCATTTTTGTTGAAGTGAAGCTTGATAATTTCTTCTAACGAGGTACATAGGTAATTTTGGTTTTGCAGTTGCATGTTATTTTTTAGCTATCAATTTTCTTTTCCAGAAAACTCTCAGAATATTTGCATAGCCCGGTCTAATTGACATGTTGCCATTATTCATGTCTTCCAAGATTGTTTACTGATCGAAATAAGCAGTTGTTCTTTGTCATTTGATTTCTTTTGTTCTAAAAGAATATGTCCTATTTTTTTATTTTGTTCACTGAAGAATTTTTAAATTTGATGAATTTGATATTCTTATACCATTGGCAAGCAAGTTTTATTTTATTCTCTTTTGTTATATGGTTTTCTTTGCTGTGCCACAGGTCAAATTTCATCATTTTCAACGCAATATCATGATGTCTTCATTTGCAGATTGAGCCATGGCATGTAGAATATACTTTTATCCTGGCTATGTCTCTCTACAGAGAAACCACATATAGGCTTCATTTGGAACAACTTTTTTACTGCTTTCTAAAATAGCTTTTCAGTTTTTATCATAGCTGGCCATGGTTCAAAATAGCGCGCGCCATGGCGCACGACGCGGCGTGGCGCACCTACGGCGCCATGTTCATGGCGAGGCGCATGTGTTTAAAATAGCGCGCGCTATTTGCGCCACATGTGAGCTATGGCGCATTGCGCACGGCGCAAAATAGCTCGCCAAATTGTTTTTAAATTTCAGTATACTTATGAATATTTTTTATATTTAAAAATATATCTATATTTTAAGATAAACGACTATTCATTGTCCTAATTTCACGAAAGATTTTCTGTTTGGTGCATCCGCCGAACACATCCTGTAGTCCCTAAGTCGAAGTTGCTGAATCTGTCACGAAGTCGAAGGTTTTTTGTTTTCTATTTGCTGCATTCGCTGCTTCCGCCGAATCCAGCCGAATCTGTCCCGAAGTTGAAGTCGTTGTTTCCCCTGAATCGTCCCGCAGAACAGTGCTTCCGCCAAATCCGCCCCCTCCTTCGTCTGTTCGGTACAGCTCGGTACCCCTCGGTACATGCTCGGTACAGCTCGGTATATGCTCGGTACCGCTCGGTATCTGTCCATACAAACGAACTTTAAAATTACTCTTACAAATAAACTTTGTACATGCTCGGTACCGCTCGGTATCTGACCCTGCGACCTGACCGGGCAGGTCTAAACCCCGCCAGGGGGCAGCGCCCCCTTGGACCCCCGGCAGCCCGCATATTATGTTTCTTGGATAATATTATGTTTCTTTTATCTAAATTTGTTTGCTTTTAGGTGATCATAAAATGTCAGATTCAGTTCAATCTTTAAAAAAAGATCCAGCATGGAAATATACTATACTAACAAATGAATTACAACAACAGTGCAACATGCATTTTTTGTGGTAAAATAACAAAAGGAGGAATTACACGCCACAAATGAAGATAATGAAGTTTTTTTAACATTTGCTGATGACGATGATTCCTAAGAAGAGTAGATTAAATTTTTATTTGATCTTTTAAAAAAAGATTGTAATATTTGAATTATGAGATATTTGGATATTACTTAGTCGAACTTATATATGTTATGGTTATCTTTCATTTTTAATAATATTTCATATTCATGCTTATTATTTTATAATTTTTATATAGTTTGTGCCATGTTAAAAATGGTGCGCGCCGCGCCGTGCGCTATACGCTATGGCTCCAAAGGGACCTTTGCACCATGGTGCGCCATTCACCGTTAACAAGTATGATTTTTATACTAAAAAATTGTTTTAGAAAGCAATAAGAAAGCTGTCACAAACAAAGCCTTTTGGGTCATTTGTTTTTTAAAGTTGCTTTATAATACAAAAATTTTTAGTTTAAGAAAATTTTGTACTAAAAAATTACTTTAGAAAATAGTAAAAAAACTGTTCCAAACGAAGCCTTAAACACTCAATATTATGAAAGCAAATGGCATTATGTTTCTGAAGGATCATGATTTTGTTTCATAATTTTCATTTGGAACTATTTTTTATTTTTATGTTGAGTATACCTTTCTATTCTTTAATTACAGTAACATTGGCGTTGAAATCAAGCCCTAATTAAGTCAAAGTTTTAATTTGATATTCATATTGTATTATGTCTGAGACTTCCAACCAAGACTTAATCCAATGAGATTCTTCCAATTTGAGCAACGATAATGAGCTACATGCTATCACTATTATTGTGTTTCATAAAGGCATACAATTGAAATACATTGGCGTATATACATTCAATTTCCCTGCTGTTATAGCTATTTACTAAGCTTTTTCAATTATTATAATGCGCCACAGAATATAAAATTGATCAGTTGAGACTTTCCTTATTACATTTTATGGAGAATAAAATCATTACACGATCCTGAGCATTGCTGAAGTGTATGAATAGCTGCTGATTTTTGTGCTTTACTCTTCCAGTAAGTGATGTGACAAAAAAATACAGGGGATCCTATATCTCTTGATCACAAAAGACACGACGGACTTCTAAGGACGAAAAGTAGGAAAGAACAAACTCTTACATAAAACTAAAAAAGAAGAAATTACAATGATGACGAATTACAAACTTAAAATTAAAGACGACACCCTAAAGTTGCTGCACTTGGAGAAGAAAGATACAGATGGAGTGGCACTTGCGGAGAGACGAAAGAAATTAGAAGCCCGAGAAGAAAAATTGGAAAGAGCCCGCAGGATTTCCGGAGGGGATGAGAAAGAAGGGTGGAAAGAGCCCGCAGGATTTCCAAGCAACCCGCAGGTTAACAAAGATTTTTTTTCCAAAAATCACATATTACATTCAACTATTTCAAACATTACAATACCCCCCATATATATAGGTATGAAAGGGGAAGATCAAAAGTTACATTAATTAACACAATAACCTAAACATAACAAGCATTAAACACCTAAATTCTCCCCTCCCTTGCTCACGGAATTCGGCCCCATACCAGGAACCGAAACAGCCACCGCGGAAGCCAAGGAGGCCGCGCGGGAGCCAAGGGGCCATGGCCTCGGGAAAGAGCCCAGGCACGGGAAAACCAGCGGCCGGCCGGAATTCCATGGGGCAAAATGCAAAATATGAAAAGCCAAAGAGGAAGCCAAAGGGCCACCTCATGGGGAAAAGAAAATCTTGGAATTCCAAAGGCCGGTTTGGAATTCCAAGAGACAAACATAAATACTAACATAAAAAGCATAAAAGACATTAATTAAAAGATAATAAATGAACTAAAATGTTAGCTCATAATGAGCTAACCCTTAGTTCAATAAATGAACTAAAGTTCAGCTCATAAATGAACTAAAAGTTTAGCTCAAATATGTTAAACTATTAGACTCAAGTGAAGCCAAAATTTGATTTATTTTGGACTAGTGTTGACCCCCCCTTATCTACATCAGTAAGTTGGTGACAGGGCCTTGTCACAGTATGTTTTACTTCTCATGAGGCTGTAGATTTTGATCAACTGTCCTAAATTTAAAGTACAAATGTCATTTCAAATGCCTTTTTCTTTTTTATTATGATAACAATAATGGTTCCAGGTGTCAAAGAAGCTCCCAGTGTCCCATGTGTTGGCAGCCCATTAGCTTGAAAGATTCGACTAGGTCTGTATATGTATATTCATTTTATTCTAGGCATGCTTTTCTGTTAAAATTATAAATCTTCTGAAGGTTATAGCTTTTGGTGCTTTTTGTGTCAGCCAAGAGCTTCTTGAGGCTGTAGAAAGAGAGAGAAGCATTAGAGTCAATCAAAGCCATAATACCACTATTTTTCATCACCCTGCACTTGGAGAGTTTGAACTGCAGCATGTAGGACTATTTTTCTTACACTTTTAGATTGCCTTTCTTTTTGGTTGATATTCCTAATTTCCATCCTCTTTATATTGCAGCTACCAGTTGGCGCAACTGATTCTGATCTTGAAGAACGTATTATTCAACATTTGGCAGCTGCTGCTGCAATGCGTAGAGCACATCATGGTGCTAGGAGAGGGATGAGGAGTGGGTCTCCTTCTCAAGGCCGCTCACAATTTTTGGTTTTCTCAACGCATCCCACTGCAGCTTCACTTGCCGCTCTTTCTGCATCATCTGCTAATGGAGGAGAAAATGAATCAGTTTCTGCTATTTCTGCTACTGATGGGCAATCTGTGACTGCTACTACAGAAGACCGAGTCCAGCAGCAAAGCTTCCCTACACTTCCAGTTGCTGAATCCAGGAATAATGCTGCTTCTACCAATAGCCCTGGTCTCAGTAACCTGTATTCCTTAAGGGAAAACCGGTGTGTTTTTTTTCCTTTCATCTAATTTACCTCTTTTGTCATTACTATAAAATGGTCCATGTTTATTGCAGCACTGTTGGTGAATCAACTCCTATCAGCCAAGACAGAGCAGGACCATCTGACTTTCAATCATTCTCTGATTCATTGAAATCTCGCCTTAATGCAGTTTCAATGAGGTGATAGTATTTTACATTCTCATGCTTCTAATTGGATGTCGACAGTTCAGCTCAGGAATTTATTGTTTGATATTTTCCGTCTTCCTTGTTAGATACAAAGAGTCTATAAGTAAAAGCACCAGAGGATGGAAGGAAAGGTTCTTTTCACGTAATACATCTATGTCTGATATTGGTTCTGAAGTGAGGAGAGAAGTTAATGCTGGGATTGCTACTGTGTCACGAATGATGGAGCGCATTGATATGAGAGAGAATTCTTCCGCTGCAACATCTGGTGCTTCCACTGAACATTCTGTGGTTGAATCAAGTAATGAGAGAGTTACTGGTGGTAGTTCTAATGTCAATTCAAATGATACTTGCCCAACAACTTCTTGCGCCGCTAGTTCTGGTTTGAATTGAGCCATGCCCACATACATTTCAACTCATTGTGTACTTTTGAAGGTATGTAACGATTTGCATACTAAATTCTTGCTCTAATGTCCATTTATAGTTTGAATTATTACAAGTTCCTTGCAAATCTTGAATGGCTGCGCTATTATTCATCTTTTTCATAGCACGATATTCATTGCGGTCAGTTGTTTGAATTCATGCGAGGGATATATTTGTCTATTGTTTGGAGTTGGGTGGGGAGGTGGCTAGAGGGGTGTGAGGTATTTGGAAACGTGATTGTTTGCTATATTTTTAGAAGACATGCAACATATTGATGGCGGGCATATGGGCAGAAAAATCATGCAACAAGCATGTAACATTTAATTTTTTGGAGTAATCATTGAGATAAGCCGCTTAGAGTAAGTACTCGGTTGCACGTGGAAAAAAGCCTTTGAATTGAAGGCATAACTTGATCATAGACTGGGAAAAGGTGCAGTAGTAAAAAGTCATAGTAGCAAAGAGCCAATGAAGGCTCAATCAAGTGAGCCAAAAAAAGCTGTATGAGGAGGGTGTCTGAACAGAAAGTTGTAGGAGTATCATGCAATAAAGTCTTATGAGAATCTACTCTCTAGAAAGCTACAGGAGGGCTTTGAATTGAAGTTACAAGAGGAGAATATCCTTTTCATAAGAGGAGAATGATTTGATACACCCATATGATACTGGAACACCCATATGACACTGGAACACCCATATGACACTATAAATAGTTCTAACCAACTTGTAAGTAGACATAATGAGGTTTAATTTGGATTTTTGTTTTGGGATCAAGAAACTATTGTTTCATTAAATGAAGAAAACTAGGCAAATACAAAGGTGGTATAAAACTGCCTTGAATCCTCTTTTTAGTCTTCCTGATCCTCTAGGTCCCTCTATGAGTTAGTCTCCAACATCTCTTTGCAGATGATCTATCCCTGATGTCACTTAATCTATGTGGGGAATGTCGGTTGCAATAAAAAGAGCAAGAAAATTTATTGCACAAAATTAGGATTACACTTATGGAAGTTACAATGCGGAGGTGCTAACTTTGGTGCTTGTTTCATTAACAGTTAGAACAAGATTGACATTTTACTACTTAAGAATAAATTTCTTGGTTACAGAGTTGCTCAACTTTTTGGTTAGAGTCTTTCTGAGAGTTTTTTTTGTGTGTTCCTCTTGATTTTGTTAAGTCTTCTTAGGAACGATTGGTTTCTCTTTGCAACAATACTAAACCTTCTACAATTCTTCTTTGCAACATCTTAGTCTTTTTGGGGTGCTCTCCATGCATCCTCTTGACAAAGAAATTGATATCTTGATTTTACATTCGTTCTGAAAAGGTAATTCATGTGAATTAAGCTGTATGCTCTCCATGCAACCTCTTGACAAAGAAATTGATATATTGATTTTACATTCGTTCTAAAAAGATAATTCATGTGAATTAAGCTGTATGCTGTGGAAAAAGTAATGTTTTTTTCTCTCGCCTTAATCACTTTGGATGTCACATTCCCTTTTTTGTCGATATTGTAAAGCACCTTGATTCCATGATCGATCATCACAATTATTTTTTCCAATAGCTTATCCTCTTGGCCCAACATTAGGTCATTGAGGAGTATAATTCCTTCACCTTGTCATCTATCTTCAAAAACTTAATTTCAAAAACTTAATTGGTTTTAGGTTTTTCAGAGTCACGACATACTAGATATTTATGTAGACTGGCAATGCCAATTAGTATGCATTGTCCTAATTTATTTTGAATATCTTGAATGGGTCATACCTAATTGATTTGATTTTGTGACCCTCCCTCTCCAATCTCTCATTGCTAATTTGAGTTGCACTAAATCTTCAAAATTTTTCTCTAATTAATCATGGTCATGTCGACACTTGACTTGATGAGCTGTTTCTTTGAATTATAGTGAATTCTTTGGATTTACTGGTGGAATTTATTATTTCTCACGAGTCCTACATTTTTGTTCTCGATATTTGCTATGGGCTCAATTGAGCAATCCAAGTCAAAAATATTTTTGACTAAAATAACCCAAATACCCCTCAAATAGTGCTCGATTTATGGAACTTGGCGTCATTTTATTAAAGGTAAATGGGCTGTAAGACATGTTTTTTTTTCCATGTTTGACTATAGATGAGGATGAGTTGCATAAATGATTATAGATACTGAGAAAATTCTGAGTAAAAACTGAGAAAATATAGATGAGGATGTCATCTTTGTAGATACTGAGAAAATTTTCCATAAATGATTTTAGAATGTCATTGATGAGTTGCATAAAATGGTATATTATAAAGATCGAATGACATTGTCATCCACTCACATAGTTCTTATTTTATTCTGATGTATCTTCTTCATGTAATGGATGGTAACCTATTTTTTATCCAACTTTGTGAAGATTGTAATATTTTTCAACTATTCTACTATATTTTTCATTATAGGAAATGGATATAGACTTTATTTAGTGCTTGATAGTTCGCACGCATTCTCTTTCTTAGATACCATCACAATTGGTGAATCACATGGCAAGCTATTTGGCTTAATGTCACCTTGTTGTAGTAACACAATCACTCATTTATTTATTTCTTCATTCTTCACCGCTGAGCTATGGTATACACCTTGATGTTGTGCAGAGTGGAGTCCAAGAGGAAGTTGATCTCATGGTAAATTGTTTGTCAAGGAGACAAACCTCTCCGCTCCGGTCTCGGAAAAGCTCTTGGTATTCTTCTATAAGTTCCTGTTGTCTACTCGCCCATTCTTTGAGAATATGAGTCAACACTTTTCTTGTCCCTTTCTTGTGAATCTTGATCGATTCTTCTTAGAGTAATGTCAGTGTATTACCATCAGGCTTCTCATATAGGATGAAGAGTTGAATGAAGCATTGGTTACTATTTATCATCATCTTTATCTTTCCAATCACCACCATATCTAAAGGTTAACACCCCTTGTTCTAATGGATGGTGTATCTAATGCCATCTCTTGAGAGATGATATTGTTGTTCCCTTCGATAGAAGATAACATCTCCTTCCAAAGATAGTCTAGCAAGTATGGAGAAGTACCACTTCACATGTCATGTCAATGTACTTGTGAAAAAGGGCTAACAGTGGCACTGTTGACCAATCTACTTCTTTAAGTCCTTCTAAATCCATTCGAGAAGATAAAGATGTGGGTGATGAGTCATCTTGAGTCCCAATCATCTAATTAGGCTTGTCAAGATCAAGTTTTTTTTACTCTCTTTGTCAAAGATGGTGTGAACCACTTATTTCTTAAGCTAGATTTGTAGAGTGAACAACTCGCATTTATTAGGGTCAGTTGTTAACTCAAGCCTTTTCCCTTCAACAACGTCCATCAAGGAAAGACTCAGATCTGGTTAATTCATTGACTTTAATGTTTGTTCCTTTTTAATTGTAGTAGCTACTTTCTTTCCTTTAGTAATGTTCGTGAACTTCTATTGGGAGAGCTCAATAGTTAGGATGAGGCTTCCAACACTTTCTCGTGTCTTGAAATATGATAATGGTCACAACATAGGTTATTTTTTGAAGTGGTTGTAGAGTTACTATTGTTAGAACCCTTTCAGTCCATTTTTTGACAGCCTTTGATTCCACCCCTTTTGTCCTTAAAGGTTTTGTTGTCTCAGGTTTTTCTTTTTCTTTCAATAGCTATGAATAACGTGTTTATGAGATTGTGTTCCTTCATTGGAGATGTTGTAACGTAACTCTGTCATATACTTCATCAGCACAATGATGTCTTAAAGCAACATGCTAAGCATTAGAGCTTGCCTCATGAACTATGTAGTATGCTCTTCCACACTTTGATCTTGTCATTGCTACAATTTGTGCCATATTTCCTTCATCTTTCCTCCTTATACCCCATAGGTTAGAATTCTTGGTGGAGCTTATTCCTGAGTTGCCTTATGATAACATTTGACTTCATGCTTGACTTGAGTGCTCCATCACATCTAGGCATGCATGGTGGGTTTTAGGCGAACAAATGAAATTTTCTCTTGGGAAGAATACCTATAGAGATTGAAATATGTTTTGAGTTGATCCATCCATCTATCATGATTCTCAATTGTATAGAACCATCAAAAGGTGAGGATATCGATTTAGCCTCTACCTTGCAAGGTTGACACTGCCATCCTAAATAAAGCTCAATGTCCTCATTTTTCTCATATGAGTTATGTTTTTGCTTGCAAAATGTTTGTTGGCTCTTTGATGGGGACATCCGGTTATGGAATGTTTATCGTCGCCGAGGCCGGAGATTAGCGGCCATGATTGAGTCGTTGTATATGTAGTTTGTTTTATTTGATCTTTTGGATTTGTGTTGTTTTATTTTCTATTTTACCCTCTTCTGAGGGGATGTTATGTTTGGTGACCAAGGGTATTTTGGTCTTGTTGTTTTTTCTTCTTTTGGGGCTTATATATAGAAGCCCTCATCCTTTGTAATTTGGTTATTGAATGAATGCTGAAAATATTTTTACTTTTGGAGCTTAGTTTTCTTCTTTCTAAGTAGCTTGGTAAATATTAGTTTAGTGGTGTGAATGTGAAGTACCCAACAGCCGTTAGCTCTTGGTTTTATCCTTGTTCTCAAGTCTCTCCATCTCCTTCCTAACTCCCAACCGAACCCTTCCCCTACTCCCAACCGGCGTTCCCAAACTCCTGCAACAAATTTCTGTTTGGTAACCTGCTGTCCAAAGCCTTCTAACCCCACCAACAGCCCTCCGTTTACCCTCCCTCCTAATGCTAGTAACCAACCACTCAACATCCACTTTGGTGACCCTTCCTCTTCCAAAAAAAAAAACACTGAAATTTTCCCTCCCAACAGCCAACAAAATTCTGTTTTTCCAACTTCCTCGTTGGAAGTTGGAAAGTCACCTTGTGCCTCTTCGTATTCTCCAAATCCTTTTCCCAAAATACAAGCCTCTTCATATTCTCCAAAACCTTTTCCCAAAAGTTAAAGTGTTGTCTTTTAACTTTCCCAAAGCCCCTCTTCATTTCCCTATTAAATACAAGCCTCTTCGTATTCTCCAAAACCT